AAAAAAAAAAAAAAAAAAAAAAAAAAGCGGGACTGAAGATTCACTGTCAGCCCTGGGAGAGGGGCTTCCAAGATCCAGGAGGGGCCTCGGGAAAAGCAGGCATAAGCCAAGGCCTGGAGCAGGTGGGAAAGAGCAGGGGGTCCTTCAGGGCTTCCCTCCCTTAACCCACAACAGGCCTGACAAAGGACACTTAACCCATCAGGGCGTTGACTGCAGAGCATGTGCGTGAGAAAAGGTTTTCCTGTAAGCAGGGATCCTAATGTGACACGGCCACCCCTGCGGGACACTAGGCAGGGCTCGATTAGTGCCGCGTCCAGACACTGGAACACTCAGGGACAGGTCAGGAGGCCTGCGTGTGCTCAGAGGACACACACCCACGGGGTGGTCCAGGCCGTGCTACGAGTGGAGGGTAGCCTCACTCTGGCCTGGGCAAACTCTCACATGAACTGCCTGCACCAGGAGCCACCTGATCCATCCCCCGGCACGCAGTAGGCCCACTCATTCTCGTCCCAGGCTCCGGGGCCCTGGAGAAGGCCAGGGTCCAGAACGATGGCGTCTAGTACCTGCTGCTGGTTCTGATGATGCAACTTGATCAGATGCTGCTGCTGCTGCTGCTGCTGGAGCTGCTGCTGCTGCACCACGGCCTGAAACTGCTGCTGCATGGCACTCTGCTGCACCTGGAACTGCTGCTGCTGCTGCTGCTGCAGCGCCGCCTGCTGCTGTGCCTGGAACTGCTGCTGCTGCTGCTGCAGCGCCACCTGCTGGAGCTGCAGCTGGGCTGGAGACAGACGGGTCGGGGAACTCGCACTGGGTGCAGCGGGGAAGGCGCCGCCCCCGCCAGTGCGGGAGGGACAGGGGTGACGATGACAGGACAGAACTTACTATAGAGTGAATCACAGTAGTAATGAACAGGAAAGAACAGGCCAGCCAAGAGGCCTGGGACCCAGCAACTAGTGATCTGCTTCCCGTCTCGATGGAACCACCTGCTCTGGACTCTTCGTATCAACAGAATCTCACAACTGGGATCTTTTGTGACTGGCTCCTTCCCCTCAGCATCCCGTTTACAAGGTTCACCCACACTGTGGCACAGATCAGTATTCCCTTTCTTTTGTTGCCGAATAATACTCCGCTATATGGATTTCCCACATTTTGTGCTGTCCATCAGCTGATGGACATCTGGGTTGTTTCCACTTTTTGGTAGTTATAAATAATGCTGATACAAACAATCATTCAGGAACTTCCCTGGTGGTCCAGTGGTTAAGACTCCATGCTTCCACTGCAGGGGGCATGGGTTCAATCCGGGCTCGGGGAAATAAGATACCATCAGCCACGCAGCGTGGCCAAAAAATTAAAAACAAATAAATAAAAAAAAACAATCATTCACAAGATTTTCAGTGATCCGGTCTCTTTGGGTGATGAAAATGTTTTAAAATTGATGCCATGAGTGCACTGACCACCCCTGCACAGTACACTTCAAGTGGGTGAATATGGGTACATGAACTATATTTCAATAAAGATGAAAAGGAGGAACACAGAGACACTTTGTACACTTTGCCCAGTTTTCCCCAATAGTAGCACTTTGTATAACGCCATAACACAATCAGAATGTGTGCCCATTTGCCTGAGTGTGTAGTTTAAATTCTATACAATTTTCTCACCTGGCAAGATTCAGCCACCATGGAGGTCAAGACCTGGCACAGTTCCAACACCACAGGAGCCCTTGTGGTGCCATGCCTCACCAGCTACTAAGGTGACCTCCATTTCTAATGACTCTGCCATTTTTAAACCACACAGAAGGACTGGCTCTCTCCTTCAGCACAATTTCTGAAGAGCATCAGGGTGGGGAGTACATCCATGCAGGACCCATTGTGAGCACATTTCCCACCCACAGGCTTAGACGAAGCTGCTCACTACATCCTTCAACTCCTCTCTAAATTCATTATTTTTGTCTGGTTAACTATCAGTAACTGGGAGGGGAAATTGCCCAACACAACTTTTATTTTCAAGTCTTTTTGCATCTTCTATTTCAGGTGTGTTTCCTGTAAGGATTAAAGAGCTGTACCCTCTCCTTACGTTTCCATTCAGTCTCAGCAGGAGAGCCTATCCCTTCACTTTTACTGTGATTACTTACGGTTTTCAACTTATTTGTATCTGTCTTTCCCCTTCTAAGTTTCCTCTTTTTTTTGAGCTTTATTGAGGTATAATGAACATTTTTTTTCTCCTCTTCTGAATTCTATTTTGTTGGAGGACTGGGTTGATTTTTGTTCGTTTGGATTTTTGTTTGTTGTTTCTGTCTCATTCCATTTTCTCCTATGGATTTGGAATTTACAAACTATTTCTACTGTTTTAGCAACGACTTTTACAATTTTATCATGCATATTTAACAAAGTATAAAGTTTATCCACATTTAAACCTCTTTCCCAAATATGAGGACCTTAGAATCCTCTCTAAACATTTTTTTAAAGTAGGTTTTACATGCACACGATAGACCTGATATCCTTGATATTTGCCCTTCCTGACTCCATTTGGTATGGTCCCTGTTTATCTTCTTATGCCCACACAGCAGACTTATATTAAGAGGCAGGATAGAATAAAGGCCAGGGATACAGCCTCAGACCCAGACACCTGGACTCAAATCTCAACTCTGTCACTGCTCTGTGTCTCAGTTTCCTCAGCTATACTACATACCCCTACATTGGACTCAGAATTAAATAATCTACTATAGACCCAAAACAGTGCTCAGAACCTGTAGAGGGTAGCTCTAAGGATTATTTTACAGAGGTAATTTTTGTTTACACCAAGGATTCCCAGCCTTGCCCCTCCTGACACCTTGGGCCAGACAACACCATGCTGTGGGGGCTGCCCTGTACACGGAAGATGCTCAGCAGCATCTCTGGCATCTGCCCACTGGTTGCCAGCAGCAGCATCCCCCCCCCCCCGCCACCAGCTGTAACAGCCAAACTGTCTCCACATATTGCCAAACACTCACCAGGGTGCAAAATCGCTTAGAATCACTACCTTAGATTTGTGCGTGTTTATGCCCTTATATGGAAAATGTTTCTTCTCCCATTTACACCTGGCATCTTGGGAAGGATGGTCTGAGAGGTAAGAGGAAATGGTGAGGGGAAAAAAAAGTATGCCCTTAAAAACTTTTAGTGAAGGTCTCCTCGGCTTTGTTGGCAGCTCTGTGCTCAGGGCTCTAACAACCTCTACTGTCTTCTTGACTCCATCACCGAGTCTGCTGAGTCTGCTTCTCCCTCCTTGACAGAAATGGCTGTTTCTGAGATAGTCTTCTGGCCTTTGGTGTCCTGCTGTTTCACAACAGGTTAGGGCATGGATGCCTTATTTAACCTGCGTGGTCCACTGGGCTTTCATCGGCCATCGTCTCCTCACACCCTCTGTGCTTCTATCTGCACTTAGATGCCCGTCAGACTTCCTGATTTCATGCTCCACGTTTCTCACCTTCCTGTTCCTGAGGCCTCTTCTCTAGGCTACGTTCTAGGTAACGTCTTCAAATGTAGCTTCTAGTTCAAACTCTTTTTTCAGCTGTATCTAATCTGTTTATTCATCCACACTTTCCTCTTTCAATGACTTTACTTCTCGTCTCTACAAGTTCTACTTGGTTACTTTTCAAATCTATTTGGTCACTCCTGATACAGTATCACAGTGTTCGTTCATTTGGAAGTCCAACCTTTATTTTTTTAAGCACCCCAAGGCCATATCTAACAATGGCTATGTCCCGGGGCGTCTCCACATCTGGTGATTGTTTCTGCTCCTCCTTGAGGTGTGTCTGCTTCCTTCCATGCCTGCTGATTTTGTGTGCTCAATGACTGACCCTGATCTGCAACTCTCACAGGCCTAAACTGGGAGCACCCTCCTCCAATCTGCCCCGGGCTCTGGAGGAGCTGGGGGATGCCAAGGGCCCTGGCACAAATCCTGGACGGAGGGATCCCAGGATTGCTTTCCCCCACCTTGCAGCGTGCCAAGGCATAGCAGGGCAAAGAGCTGCCCCTACCTTCTGCCAGCCCAACAATCCAAAACACAGTCTACACAGAAGGAGAGAGGGCTCCTCAGCAACAGCCAGAAATACGGCTTATTTTTAAAGTAGGTTCTACATGCACATGATATAAAATTCATCAAGGAAACAAAAAAGTATAGAGTTTAAAAGTATCCTGTACCTCAGCCCCAGCCTTATCCACAGTCAGCAGTGTGTGTTTCCTGTGACTAACCCAGGTCACCTGGAGATGCACAGCAGGCTCTGGGCTGCCCTTTGCGAGTCCTCTGACCCAGGACCTATACTCTGGGGGCGTGGAACTAAGGTCCGAAGCAGCCTTCATCACACAGTGGCGTTTGGAGGTGTCAGAAAAGGGCAGCAACTACCCATCAAGCACTACACTTATTTCAGGTAGACCAGGCCACTAGAGGTCATAGGCAGGGAGGGTGGGTCTCTGTAGAGGCAGCAGCAGGACATGAGAGTAGAGACCACTTTAACTTCCACTGGTGCCACACAGGAGACCAAGCCCCTCGGAAGCTGAAGACAGGATGTGGGCCAAGGTTGGACTAGGGAGGGTGCAAGACAGCCCACCAAAGCTTCACTGCTGAACTGACAGTCTCAGGAGTCAGACTGCAAAACATTCTAAACTCATACAGCTTAAAACTATTTTTTATTATAAAATCTAAGTTTGTGATAAAAAAGAAATTCAACCAGCGCACCCGAGTATAATATGAAAAGGAGCATCCTTCTGAAAGCCGCCCTGCCTCTGTGTGTGTGTGTGTGTGTGTGTGTGTGTGTGTGTGTGTGAGAGAGAGAGAGAGAGAGAG